AAGGGGGGCCACAGCCAGCAGGACAGAAGCCAGACAAGCCCTGTACCCCAGCCATCACGCTCTCACGTTTACACGTAGGAACAGCAGCCAAGGGAGACGAATGCCGCTTTTGATCTGTCTGGTCTGACAAACTCGTGTCCTTCGGGAAGCCCAGGTCCCAGGTGGGTCTGGTGTCACTCATTAACGCCCTTGCTTCTGCGGGACACGGTGTGTCTCCTTACATTGACCTTCTTTCCGTAAGCGAGATTCCCGGGCCTCGAAGGCAGCGGTGCCATGCTCTGCTGGCTGCCCGGGCACCGACAGCCAAGCCCGGGCCCTGCAAACAGCCCCGCGCCAACGGCAGAGCCCTCGCGTCATGACCTGGGAGCGCACCGCTGCCTTGTGACAGCTGAACGCACAGGCACGCACACAGAGGTGGATCCTCAGCAAAGCAGGGGCTCTGTATAAAACCTCCTTTGCCTAATTAGGTTTGCACTCTCCAACTGGAACGGTTCTTCGGTCTGAGCAGCAACACAGCAGCAAGTTGCAGCTGTGCCCGACCTGGAGGTAACACAAGTTTCCCTTCCATTGGCCTTGCCTTTTGGAATCCCACCCTTCACCACCAGCTGCCTAAACTCTTCAAGTTACCGCATAAACACTTTCCAAATGCCGGCACGCCATGTGATAATTGATCATGATAACCATAGATATACCAAAACCTAGGTCATAAACGAATTTCAAATTAAAGATACCAGTGATACTCCCCTTAAAAGTGTTAAGGGGTGTCCAGGTATGTTTGGCCATAGGCTCGACTGCTTTGGACTTCAGCTGCACATAAAACGAACTACATCGCCCTTCTTATTTCTGAAAACAAGATCACCCTGAAGATAAGAAAAACGAAAACAACCCCCAAAAAACTAAGAGTGAGGGAAAATCATCTTGCACTTCTCACAGTTTAGGATTCAACAAGCAGAGCGAACACCACTGCTACTACTGACTCTTCATATGATACCGGATAGAACAAGCGGTCACACAGGCTCTTGGGTGCTCACGCTCTGCACCGTCACATCCGCCTGCTTATACTAGACAAAGGGTTTTGCTTTCATTTGCTGGGAAACAAGCCAAGTGATCTCTCACAATACATATGAAAATGGGAAAAAATAAAACCCTAATGAAGGCAAAATGACTTCCACATCTGAGCACTAACTGTATATCTGAACCGTACCTTTACACCAGCCCCTCAACAGGCCCACAGCTTTCACGGTGGTTAACGCAGAAGGCCAATGGCATCCTGGGGTTCATTAGGAGGAGTGTGGCCAGCAGGTCGAGGGAGGTTCTCCTTCCCCTCTACACTGCCCTACTGAGGCCTCATCTGGAGTACTCTGTCCAGTTCTGGGCTCCCCAGTTCAAGAAAGATGAGGAGCTACTGAAGAGAATCCAGAGGAGGGCTACGAGGATGGTGAGGGGACTGGAGCATCTCTCCTATGAGGAGAGGCTGAGGGAGCTGGGCTTGTTCAGCCTGAAGAAGAGAAGGCTGAGGGAGGACCTAATAAATGCTTACAAATATCTCAAGGGCGGGTGTCAGGAGGATGGGGCCAAACTCTTTTCAGTGGTGCCTAGTGACAGGACAAGGGGCAATGGGCACAAACAAGCATAGGAAGTTCCGTCTGAACATGAATGAGGAAGAACTTCTTCCCTCTGAGGGTGATGGAGCACTGGAACAGGCTGCCCAGGGAGGCTGTGGATTCTCCTTCTCTGTAGATATTCAAGACCTGCCTGGAGGAGGTCCTGTGTGGCCTGCTGTAGGTGTCCCTGCTTTGGCAGGGGGTTGGACTAGAGGACCCTCAGAG